TCTTTACAACTACGCTTTTCCAATGCAAACACTCCAGCTTTTTCGCTGTCTAGATTGCACCCATTGTATTTGATTAAATGTTCCAGTGAAGAGGTACAAAAGAACGCGAAGCATTTTAAACAGTTCTATGATCTAGATATGGGCAGTGAACTCATTCTTTGGTACAATTTATGGAAAAAGAAGAACTTGTCCGAACAATATTTGAAGGATTTTGAAGTTGTAGATCTATTCAAAGAAGCAAATGAATTTCTACCAGGGATAAATAAGTGTATTTCTATTTTGAGTGCTTTTCCATGCACAACTGCGACTGTGGAGCGATCGTTTAGTACACTTCGTAGAGTAAAAACCTGGCTCAGAAGCACAACAGGAGAAGAAAGGCTTTCTGGACTATGCCTCATGAGCGTCCATAGAAAACTCGTTACCGAAAACCGCGAGATGATTCAGGAGAAAATAATCGAAAAGTTTGCTGAAAATCCGAGACGTTTGTTATTAGTGTAAAAATGATGAAATAAAAAATATTTCAAAAAACTTAACAAGTAAATTTCATTTTGCCCCCCCTTACATCAGATCCTGGCTACGCCCTTGAGCTTAGCAGTGGCCTGTGTACGCGAAGTTGATAAAGGGTGTGTCGTCCGGTTACTGAACAATTACTTCACCTGTTTATTGCGCCATGGTTCCGTGCAAACATTTTAAGGTTTTCCAGCAATGTTTTCAACATATTAAAAAGCATGCAGATAAAATTCATACAAAAGCGCTATGTCTAATTTGTTGAGCAGATATTAAAGACGAATCTTTTCCTATATTTTGTTAGACTTTTCATATGTAAAAATATTTTGTGAATATTACTTTCTTCATATATCACATTTTTTGTTTAGTTTCTTTTTCCTTCTGTCAGTAAACTGTTTTTGTTACAAATAGTATAAATAAGCAATGGGAGATAACGCAAAATTGGTTTTACAGTAAAACCTGCTTAAGTACCTCACGAAAAATGTCAGCTTTTTGAGGTACTTAGGCGGGTTGGGTACTTAAAAGAACCCGCTTAAGTACCTCGATGCGGGTACTTAAGCGAACATAATTTGTGATGTAGCTACATCTTCTTATAAACTTACATAAATAAGTCCTTGAATAACACATGAACATGTAATGAAGTATACGTAATTTAAAACCAAGATCTCAGCATTATTTAAACACGTAAAAACATAAAGGAAAACTTTATTAAAAAACAGATAAAGCAACGTTATGTCATTTCCGCAAGAATTAAATTAAAAAGTTACTGATTATACATACCAAACAGGGCATATCATTTTGGACCAAATTCAAAATGATAATGTTTGCCACTTATGTATGTTCATATTTTAATTTTTAGAATTTTTCAATTAAAAAAAACTCATTTCCTAACAAATACCATAGAAACCTAAAATATAAGCTTAAAATTTTGCAGAACACTGAAAAAAATTCATCAAAATTTCAAACTTCTTTTCAGAAGTGTTAAAATTTTTTATGAGTGTACAGTTTTATAGCCCATTCAACTTTAGTGTAATAATGCGCAAGTTTCAGGTGGCTGAAAATTACCGTGGATTTTTTATAATTTTTTTGCCGAAGGTGTGTAGCGCTGCCACTGAATTTCAAAATATGTAAATGTTTGAAGAAATTAAAAAAAAAAAAATCACT